ACCTGGCAGAGTCCATCGAAACATTGACTGGTCTTCTATAACAGATACAAATTCCAACCAGAAACCTTAGAATCCGTTAAAATATGGGCCTGGCTGAAGTTTTCAGAGGTTTTATTGACGTGCTGGTATTAATTACGAACGTGGGTTCTTCAAAGGAGCCTTGCAGCCATTCCAAAATAAACCACTTTTAGAGGTTCTTATGAGACATTTCCTGCATGCGAGCAGCCTGTGCCCGTGCAGTCTGCCAAGCACAGTTTTGCATGGGACTGAAGATGATGACTCTCACTTGGGGCCCCAAGAGGGCCAAAACAAGGTCCATAAACCCATCCAGATGCTAAGATCTGCAAGACGAGGGCATCACCACCCCACCCGGCCTTTGGAGATCTTTCTCAGCTGCCAAGTCTTCTGCCGTTGCCCCCCACACACACACACCCCAGATGACAGAGGAGGGACCTTCCCTCTCACTGCTTTTAGGAAGAGTGGGAAGATGGACCTCTTCAGACCCGCCTTTTAAACAGTCGTGGTGCCTGCTGTGATGAATGTGGGGAGGCCAGTCCCGTTTTGTTTCGCCGTTTGCAGTGGGAAGGACGGACGGAAAGCATGAAGCGAGATGATGAATTTGTATGCAGATCTAAACAAAAGGGGGTTGAATCTGTGCAGCCATCAGTGGCCAAATTTGGGATTGGTTGCCAGCCCGTTATCCTGGAAGCTCGTCAGGATGTGCTTTATGGGGTGGGCTGAAATACTGGACCACAAGAACCAGATGCACTTGCTGTTTGGGGCAGCAGCTCCGAAAGTGTGGCCTCATCCGTTTCAGGAGCTTATATGTTTAAGAAAATACCTGGTGCTGAGAGTGAAGCATCCATTTGGAACAGGGCAGTGGTTCCTAACCTTGGGTAACCCAGGTGTTCTTGGACTGCAACTCCCAGAAATCCTGGGCAGCACAACCGATGGTGAAAAGGCTTCTGGGAGTTGTAGTGCAAGAACACCTGGGAAACCCAAGATTGGGAACCGCTAGGTTCAGGATATAAGCCCCACCACATTCTCTTCTTCAAAAGCCAGCAACCAATGCCCCCATAGATCATGTACATTATCTGTTCCTTCAGGCCACCTCTGAGAAAGCAGCGAGCAACTCCTTCATTTAAAAAGATATCCCTGAACAGGCTTTCTTCTCGTAGGCCACTGCAGATGAAGGCAGCAGGCGACCAGCACAGAGGTATCTGGAGAGGAACGGCACCCTCACTCTGCCTAGCCCCCTTCCAGCACTCGCATTCGGATAGAAGCAGCCTTCTTGTCTGCAGCCCCCCCCCCCCTCTCACCCTGGATCCACGCCGCGTCCCTGTTGCATCCAGAGTGGTTGGTGAAAGGTCTTCCTGAAGCACAAAACCCACAGGTCTGTTGGCACACAGGGAACAACTCCGTGGACCCCAGAGGCCTCCCTCCACTTCACACCCCGGAAAAAGGAAACCAGACTTTGCTTTCAACCTGTTTTTATTGCAAGTTCGATTCTGTTAACGTCTTGGTCCGCAAATCCACCTGTTGCAGCGCACAAACAAGCTTCAGGTCTGTCTTGGCCAGTGGGCAGTTGAGACTTGAGTGCCCAATCCTCATTCAAACATTACTGATGACTAACTTTGGCATCCGATGCAAAATCAAGTCCTTTTTTTATACATTGTTTGCATGGCTCCTGTTGCAAGAATCCAGAGAGGGATTTCAACAGGAAGCAGAACGTTTTCTAAGGTGAAGACATTTAAAAGCTGATTTAACACTCTTTTAATACAGTCAGCTTCTCGGTTCTGTAAATAACTAGCATTCTTTCAGGCCTAATTTTTGACTGTCTGTCCCTTGGACCTACAATGAAGAAGGCAGATAAACCTGGGGTGCAAACCTCAAGCTCCCAGTTCAAGATACCACGGAGGCTATGGTTTTCCTTAACCAATCTCGCCCCTATAGCTTAACTACATTGCTGGAAAAACGTTATTAAGAGCCATCTAGATCCTTTCTTAGGGGTTCTCCCTTTTCTTGGGAGAGAAAAGGACACCTAAGTCATCTTTAAGACAGCGGTGTAGATCCGTCTTTGGTGTCACGGCTGGAACACAGCCAAACCAAAGGTGTTGAATAGACCTTATAATGCCAGGGAGGGTACAATGGTGAAATGCCTCTACCTTCAGCCTTAACGCTGAAATGACATGGATGGAAGTCCGACGCACTCTTAGGATGGCTGAAGCCCTCAGAGGCCACGGGGATTTAAATGGCCTAATAGTATGCAGGATTGCAACCAGGCAGTTTCTAAGCCTTTCCTGAGATGTCCCCATCCTCCACCCGCACGAGTCTTCAGCAAACGTTCTGTCTCCAGTTCCCACCGCTACAGTTCACTAAGCAGTGACTCAGTACAACAGGGGAAAAACTACTCCGTTTAAATGAAATTGAAAGCAGGTGCAAGCTCAACCTTAAAGTACACAATTTGCTGAAATAAACTGGTTGGCTCTCTCCTTTTTTTTAATAGTAAAAATAACTCCATGCTGGTTTTTTTCTTTTTTCTCTTTTTCTTTTTTGCAATCTATGAACATTCATGCAACAGAGAAGCCAGTAATTCCACAAGAGGAAGAAAGCTGTTTCTCTAAGAGCGGAAACCCTGTTTTTCCCATTAGGAATAAGCTCTCTCCTCTAAAAGCCAACTTTTGTAGCTGTTGTTTAAAAGGACAACAAAACCCGCACTCTGAATATCAACAGCAGCTGCAGATCCTAACAAGTGGAGAGGGTCCGAAAAGCACGGCTGCCCTTTCTGTACACCGAGGGTGTGGCAAGATGAGCAGCACATAAACGCCTATACAAGAAATAGCTGGCAAAATAGAAACCTGTTGTGTCTTTGTTGTAAAATAAAGCTAGTTACGGAAGCAATGAGGGGAGGTGTTCACAGGATGCTTTGCACAAAATGCATGAGCATCCTCTAGAAAAATGGCTAAAATGTGGTCGTGTGCATGCAGAAATATACAGGGGGGGAGCACTTGCACAGATATAAAAATATACATTGTCCTTAAACGACAACAACAACAATGTAAATGGATACAAAATAATTCCAAAAAACAGGAACAAGTTTACAAAAAGGGATATGTTTAACTCTATAAAATGATAAAAGTCGAGTCCTCCTTCAAACTTTCAGCCCGGCACGGAAAGGATGCAGGTTGACACACAGATGCGCATTCAGGGTGCCGGTGCATGCATCCACGCCATGCAGGTCTGGTTTCGTAAGCCGTGCAAGGACAGGAGGGGAGATGCGGGGAACCAAGTTCTCCTGGGAGCCGGAGAGCTGCAGGGGTACAGCAGTCTCCTGATTTTACAAAATACCACCGGCTTTTCAGGGCTGTGATGCCGAGAGGGCTCTGGGAAGAGATGCTCCTGGCACTCCCGGCTTAGTGGCTGAAAACACAGGAGGACGAGATCCAAGAAAAAGGAGCACAGCGGTATGAAGCCGGGTGCTCCCTTCCAGCAGCAGCAGCAGCTATGGGGATACCGATGGCTGGAAGACCACAGGAGACTGGCTGGACTTGGGGAGAACTGGGATGATGAGTTAAGTCCCTGCCACTGTGTGACACTGCTCACCTCCCTGCCCAAACCAGTGACAGGCAACTGGTCACTGGTGCGGGGAGAAAGAGTGTGAGTATGTGGGCAAGAAAGAGTGTTCACTCCTGCATCAGCCTGGCTCCAAGCACAATGGACTGGCCACCCCTTCACCATCAGCTGAAGCCACCCGTCGTACATGCCACTGCCAAAGCTTTCGCCAGGGGGTGAAACGACAGATGATGTCTGAGGCTGACAAGCCTTACCAGCCATTCCCTATCACCAGAGCTTGAAAACATTACTTTTGGAGAACTACACCTCCCAGAATCCCATGGGACCATAAATAAGGAAATCAACATTAAGCAGAGCAGGGGTGGGGTGGGGACCCAGCTGCCAACATCGATAGTTGCATGCGTGACCTTAAAACCAGAAGGAGGAAATGGCAAACCCTCTGATATGATGGCCCCTTTCCTTTCGCACACTCTTTCACAGCTGAAACCTCGCGATGAGACCCACGTGAAACTGTATGCAGTGAATGGTTCAGCATACATCCCACTGCCAAACTGCCACCCTCAAATAAGTGCCGGGGGACTCGGCTTTGCACACCTCTCAGCACAAGGTTGCCGGAAGAAAACTCAGCTAATGGTGCGAGTCCAACATGGGCCACGGGAGAACGCAGAGAAACGGCTGCTCTGACGGTACCAGCTGGTTTCCTTCCATTGTCTGCAGCTCTTTTCAAGACTTCCAAGAGGGAGAGACACAAGGATCAGATGCTCTTTTGCCATCCAATCCCTTGAGAAGCAGGGGTCAGCCCCCGATGGGGACCTTCCCGTGATCTTCTTTGCCCAACCTAAAGGAAAAGGGGAGCAAAGAGGCTGAAGGAAGGGCCTGTAGCTCTTTTCACCAACACCCAAAACGAAGCAGGAAAGCAAACAGCAGCAAAAGCAGAAGCAACGGCGCCGCCCCTCCTAACACTGGATCTGGAACACTGTCCAACTTGTTTCTCTTTTGTCTGGAAAGCTCCAGTTCGGTTCCTCAAGCGGATAGACGTGAGGGAGCTTTAATACAGGAAGGCATGTTGGGCACAGAGTCATCTGGAGGGATGAGCTGGTGAGGGATTCCAACAGGGAGAAAGTAGGTCTAACGGCATGGCCTGCTGGCCTGCCTCTCCGGAGGCCACCGTTGGTCGTTTTCAACCTACGCGCCAGGTTCTCTGTAATACTGTTTGCCACCCGGTGAGGTTCTTTGGAGAAAGGACATCCGTGGCAACGAGGACCAAGAAGGACTGTTAAGGCCGACACGGATTGAATCAAGAGCTTCTGAACACAACATTTTGGCCGTGGACCTCAGTTCCACACATCCCCGTACGTGGCAAAACATTATACCCGTTATTTAGTAGGAAAGTCCATTCTTTTCATTTGGCAGTGATGAGTTGGATGCGTCTCAGGTCACACACTTTTTGGTCCTATCTGGCAAGTCCAGTGGAATGTCATGGAGAGGAGCGTTTCAAGGGTCCTGCTAGTTCTCCCCATGGTCCTCTTCCACCCAAGCCACAATCTTCCCCTCCCACCCAGGAATGATGTCGTCGTCGTGGAAAACCTAAGAGAGAGAGAGAGAGAGAGAGAGAGAGGGTCCGTTCAGCAAAGCAGAGCTCTACCCAAAGGTTATGGGCAAGTAGCCCAAGGCCACCGGTTCTGACCAAATGGCCAATTGCTTTGGGCGGTCAGGCCCTGCCACAGCTTATCGGCAAAGAAAGAGGTGTCTATGTGCCGGGAACCCTCAGCACAGCATTTATCAAGAAGATCATAGATTCTGCAGACAGATCTACTGCCAGTTTCTGTTTCCTACGAGAAGGATCTGAGAGCATGTCACAAGGATGTGGCATTGGAAGTTATATAAATAAAAAGTATAAAGGATGCACAAAGGAAAAGAGGACTGAGAAAGCAAAAATAAAAAGAATAAAGGATGCACAAAGGAAAAGAGGAATGAGAAAGCAAGGAAGTCCTATCTTAACCAGGATCAGCCAACCCCCCATTCCCACATCTTCCGGCTCGTCACTGGCGTCTCTCTGAAGATGCTCGCTCCTGCTGAACCTCCACTGCTCACTTCTTCTCCCTCCCTGCTTCCTCCATGGTGAGTGGCATGCAGACGGTCTCCCTCAAGAACCAAGGATGAAGTGGGATACAGAACAAAGCTGAAAGCGAACACTAACTAGGTACCTCCTCCTTGACCGTGCCAAATTCTGGATCCAGGGCTTTGAAATGGTACCGGTGTGTTCCTTCCCGATCAATCGCTGCTTTAAAATCCCTCAGAGTCACCTCACCTAACCTGCAGGCAGAGGAGAAGTAGCAAAAAAACAACATGGGGTTCTGCGGCCACCTCTGCCCTAGGGAATCAGAACCAGAACATCCCCACCCAGGGGTGTACAGTATATTATTCTCAGGACGAAGGCAACTCACCTCTTTGGTATGTTGACCATGAAGGGGGTGAGGGAGCGGTCGGTGAAGTAGAGCACTTTGGTGCAGGCACTGCTGCTCATCGTGGGGGTACTGTGAGAATGAGGCAGCTCTAGAAAAGGAAGAACGGCAGATCCCTTCAGCTAGGACGCGACGCGGGTGCAGCCTCCGCAGCGACCCGTGAGCAGGTAACTTAAGGAGGCCTCGGTTTGTCCCCCACGCCCATGTAGGAATGATTGTTCTTGGCCAAGCGCTCCTGAGGATGCAGGACCACCCCTGGGCCACCACCACCCTCTCCTTCTCCCTTCCCCATCTCAGGGATCTGTGAAGGTTCAGGAGAGACGCCTCCAAGCTGGCCAAGGTCTGGAGGCTTCTAAAGGCACTGGCCTGAAACAGAAGAACCCCACGGAGCCTTGCTTTGCCCAGCTTCCCCCTCATCCACCCCAGTGAGACAGTTATGTCCAGGATCTGCTGCCAGCTAGTTGGCCTTCTGGGGTCAAGATGCAACCAAGGCCAACTTAGGAAAGAGGGTGCCTTCTGAACTTTGGGCGCCAGGGAGCAGGACCGGCTTGGAATCAGCCCCTTCGGAAAGGGACGGCAACTCTCCCTGGAAGAATGCAGTGCTTGCTCCACAACAGCAAAGCAGCAAATATTAATTACAGTGGTTAATTATTGATGTGGCGGTAATATCTGGCTCCCTTTATGCCCACAGCGGGGCCCAAGTGCGCTCCCGGAACTCAGCACTGTAGACGAGGGGAGGGCACGGGGCAGGGGGCATCTCCCAAGAGCAGGGCTCGGCCCCAACACCTGGGGGGGGGGCAAGCATTCCCAGCTGGCGCAGAGGGACTCCGGAACGACACTCACTGGAGTTGGAGGGCCAGGAGTCTCGGTACTCGTTCGTGACGCGGCCAGCAGGCGACTTCCCTCGGACCTAAAGAGGGGAAAGCCCGATGAAGGAAAGGCAACAGATACTTTGCACGTGCTTTCTCTTTTCGTCATCATCTTAGAAGGGCACTGATGGAAGGGACCTTATAGATCATCTAGTCCAACCCCTATCACGGAGGCCCACTGGAGGAATCAAACTCGCTGAACTCTCCAACACTTTCTCCTCTGCAGTTACTTCCAAGATTCCAGAACTCAGACCCGGCACTGCAAGCGGGTTCTGAAGGTGAGCACGGCCTGCAAACAGGTTGTGCATCACACTCCAGGGGTGGCTGAGCTGGCCGCAAGGAAGGCCAAGCTGAAGGGTCCACGTGAACCACAAGGAGAGGCAACCACCGTGGCATTAGTGGGTGGAACAAACCTCCCAGAGACTCGGGGAGACTGCCGGGCTGGAGGCACAAATCAAGTTTGCTTGCTGAGTAATTGTGTACACACACACACACAAAGTAGTTCCAACAGAAAAGGTCAGCAGAGAGAAAAGGAGCAGATGGGTTGCACTGATTAAAAGGCCCAGGAGGAGAGTGTGCTGCTGACTGGAGACCAAGCGACCGTGGGCGGTTGCAAGGCCATCAAAAATCTGCTCGAAGACACCCCCGCCCCCAACAAGGATGATGGTGATGACTGATAATGGTCCATAGGGACCAAAAAGCCCTGTGGCTCTTGGCAGCCCGTGACCGCTTTCTAGGACTCGCACAGCAGTCTCCAGATTGTTCCTGACTCGCCCTTGGAGCTTCCTAGAGGCAGACGTTCCAAAGGGGGTAAAGGCCTCCGGGCAGAGGGCAAGCAGCCAACTGGGATCGGGGTTCATGGGCTCCAAGAGCAGGAGCCAGCTATGAAACCCCTCGCCTTGCACGCACCTCGCAAAACACAGTCCTGAGGCTACGAAGCCCCAGATCCACTCCCCACATTCACGATTGGTTAACCACAAGAACAGGAACAGGTCCTTGTGAGGACGCCGTGGCGGGGGAGGGGAGAGAAGCCACGTTGGCTGCCTCAAAGCCATGGGCTAGGTCACAGCCCGCGGAGATCAGCCCGGATCATGGGGCCCTCCGCTGCAGAGCCAAACTCTCCAGGTGAGCGGAAGGGGCTTCCACGGCCGAGGCAACCCTTCTGAGCCAACGGGCACGGGTGGCGGGGACGCCTCTTACCCTCCTCTCCTGCCTCTTCTGCATCTCCAGGCGGTGGAGCCTCTCCATCAAGCTGGAGAGGCCCTGCTCCAGGCTGTCGATGGTGTGATGCTGGGGGTCGTGGCCGCTGAAGCTGTTCCTCAAACTCCGCAGCGCCTCCCGCACCAGCTGCAGGTCGTTGGTCTGTGCCAGAGACGAAGGAAGCTCAGAGGGAGATGGTTGGCAGGGGGGAGGCTCCAGAGTGCTCTGCCCCATTCCTCCCCCCACCCCCACCCCCATCTGAACCCTCTCAGCAGAGGAGCTACCAAGGCACGAATGCCCCAAGGCGAAGCTCAGGAAAGTCTGGCTTTCAGACGACGACGACTCCCAGGATGCCACCGCAATCCTGTCTGGGACTGCACCAGCTGCAGGTCGTTGGTCTGTGCCAGAGACGAAGGAAGCTCAGAGGGAGATGGTTGGCAGGGGGGAGGCTCCAGAGTGCTCTGCCCCATTCCTCCCCCCACCCCATCCAGATCCTCTCAGCAGAGGAGCTACCAAGCCACGAATGCCCCAAGGCGAAGCTCGGAAAAGTCTGGCTTTCAGACGACAACTCCCAGGATGCCACCACAATTCTGTCTGGGAGTCCCAAGTGTCCTCTCCCATCTCCTGGGAGGGGGCTCTCTCTCCCCAGGGACCAAGAAGTGGGGGCCTACCCCTCTGTGTGCTGTGGAAGTGGCTCCTTTTCCTGAGGTCTGGAGGAAGCCGTTGCTCTGACAGCCATGGTTGCTGTAGGCGATCACCTGCTTGGCAAGGCAGAAAAGACCAAGACACCTTAGTATTTGCGCTCAGGGGCCTCTTCTTCTTCTCCCCACACGCCCCCGCCCCTGCCGGCAAGCCTCAGGGGTGCGAGTCAAGAGGACCGGCGCTCTTCCCAGGCTGGGCAGGGCTGAGCCTCATCAGCGTCCGTATCTTCCAGGGGACGCAGGGCAGATGCAGCCGGGGCTCATTCGGAAGGCTGTCGACACGGCTAGCACCTCTGCAAGCGCGCTGCAGAAGTTGGCCCACCAGATCACCATGCAACCGCCTCTCTGAAACTCCCAGAAGAGTTTTATACTTTGGTAGAAGTGTCTCTCTCTCTCTCACACACACACACATACACAAACACACCAAGAGAACCTTCTAAAGAACAAGGTGGCCCATAAGCAGATTAGAAGTGCCTCCGGAAACTGGCCTGAAGTCCCAGGGGTGGGGGTGGGGGTGGAACCAGACAGCAAAACCTCCCTCCAACGGCTCAAGGACCCCATCTGTCTTTTGGGGTGCTGAGCTGGGAGGCAGCAGAGCCAGGAGGCTACTGAGCTCTGCCCCCCCGTCTCACGACCCTCTCGCCTCCTTCTCACGCGGAGGAGCTCAGAGGCAGGTGCTGGCCCACGTCAGCAAAAGTGGTCCCCGAAGGAGGAGCTCTCCTCCCATCATTCCCATTAAGCCCCGGGGCCCCAGCGACACCTCCGGGGGGGTGGGGTGGCTGAGGCTGTTCCCCCACCGCCCAAACTCTACGTGCCTCCTCCGCCTCCTTCTTCATCATACACTGAGCCAGGAGGGCTTCCTTGTGCTCGAGGTCTCGCTCCATCTCCGCCTGTGGAGAGGGAAAGAGGTGGGTCAGCAGGCCAAGGGGGTCAAGGAGCACGGGAGG